AAACAGCCTAGCACAGAAATTGGCCGCTTCGAATAGTCAAACAAAGTGACATGCGGAGCTGGGAGTAGCAAACCGCTTTGAAAATGTTGGTGAAATTCTTGCTCTGATAGGATTGAAACAGACGACCCTGAGTCAACAAGGAATGACAACTTGACATCCGCTATGCGTACTTGTATGTAAATTGCACTGCGAGCAGGATGCTGCACAGTCAAAACTTGCTCAGAACTTCCCCCTGACAAAGCATCGTCATCGATGCCAACTTCACGAACCCTGCCTTGCATTTGACGCTTGCGGTTGCATACTTTTTGAAAGTGGCCCTTGATACCGCAAAACAAACACTTCTTTCCCTGCGCAGGGCACTGTGACGCTGATGCGCGGTGATTCCGCGAGCCGCATCGGAAACACTGCGGTGAAACGGACCGGCTATCTCTGTCTCGCCGAGGGGGGCGGGGCCCCTGCGGCGCACGCGAAACGCTAGCGCTTGGAGAGTTTTGCTGAAAATGCGCTTTTGGCTGGAAATTGAAGTTCCGCGAAGAATGCGAATACTGGGAACGACGCCGTACAGAAACAGGCCCGACCGAAGCAGAAAATTCCTTCAGCTCTTCAGCTGCTTGCTCAAACTGAAGAGCGATCCGCACTGCGCTCTCGAACGAAAGGGAGGAACCCTCGAGCAGCAACCGTTCACGTACGCGGTTGGAAACAACGCCGGCAACAAATTGGTCCCGCAGAGCATCATCTTGTGAAGCGAACGAACAATGCGAAACGAGCTCCCGTAAAGCAGCAACAAAGTCATGAACGGACTCGCCTGCTTGTTGGCTGCGGCGGTGGAAACGATGACGCTCGACGACGACGTTACCCGACGTGGAAAACTGCTGCCGTAAGGTGATGAGTGCAGCCTCGTACTCGTCAGTAGCGGCCGCGGGAGGCTTCTCTTGTACTTCCGGTGCTGCGGCATTTGACCCTGCTCCGGACGCTAGAAGGTAGACTGTTAACGTCTGCTCCCACTCCTCCCATGGAAGTGATGGCCAGCCGGGCGTCGGGAGGAACGGCGGCGGCGGAGCAAGGGCGGCGGCGGAGCAAGGCTGGAGAAACTCATGGCGGGGCGGACCCGGACGACACTCGATGCTGCAGGTAGCTTGCCGTGTTTATCCCATCCTCGTCGCCAATGTGGTGTCTGTGAAAGACGTAAGAAGCACCGGCAGCACCACCGTACAAAAAGACCTTTATTGTACGCAACACATCGAATATATACATAAAAGACAGACGCGCCCCCTGGGGGTGAAATAACACAAAGTAAAAACGAAACGAATATAACAGCCGTCAAAGTCTGCGAAAGGCGCCGTTATCTACGAGCGATCTTCATCCGTCAACAAGCTC